CCTTTTTTTTTTTTATTTTTTGGCAGCTGGCCGGTAAAGGGATCTGAACCCGTGATCTTGGTGTTACAAGGCTGTGCTCTAACCAACTGAGCTAACCAGCCAGACCGACAGACCTATTTATGCCAGTCACTGACCCTGATCCCTGACACCAGCATTTGGCCCACAAGGGATTTGGGGGTCAGAGAGACCCCCGGGCCTGCCCACACTGGAGGGGGATTGACCTTGAGACTGGCACAGCTGATCTCGCAGATGTCACAGTAATGAAGCTGGGGCTGCGAGGGCCCCCCTGGGGCTTCGGCAGCTTGCTGGTAAACGGTGGCTTCCTAGGGAAGCTGCCAGCAGAGTGGGCCCTGGGGCTGCCTCCCGAGCTGCTCCACAGTGCTGAGCTCACGGGGGACATTGGCCGCAGGGAGGGCTGCTGCTGGGGGGTCCCAGGGAAGGCAGTTGCTACATCTGCGGGGTGAGTGCTGGAGGATATAGAGACAGGCTGCTGAGCACACCAACATGTCATAGCTTGGGTAGCTTGGTCCTAAGAAGCAGAGAAAAAAATGAGAGACGGAGGGAGAGGTATTGATTTCCACCCAGTTTACTGAGGGAGCACATGGACCGACCGCCTGTGCAAATATACACGCACAGGGAAACGGTGGTCCTACCAGTGTACTGGGCACGGATGGGGTTGTATAAGGACAGGGGGTAGGAGGCTGTGGTGGAGACAAAGGTGTCAGGCTGGACACTAGTCGCCATGCGGTATGTGTGTCCTGAGGATGAGGTGCTCACCAGCTGCCCAACCATTGCTGTGGGTGCCTGTCGCAGGGGCTGGGCTTGGCTGTGGCCACCACTGGGCTGGCCATAGCCTCCTTTGGTGGCTGTGGCCACCACTGGGCTGCCCATAGCCTCCTTTGGTCCCTAGAAAACAGGCTCAGGCTCTCTGCAGAGCGACCCCGCTCTCCGCCATCCCTGCCTGCCCTTGGTCTGTGGTTGGGCCCTGGCTTGGCTGGCTGGAGTGTGAAGGAGGATGAAGTCAGGACCAGAGGCTGGAGCCCTGGGCTGGAGCCTGGCAGTGCCCAGCCTATGACCCTGTGCCCACCACTCCTGTCCAGACTCCAGCTGCCTCCTCCACGGCCATGAGGGAGATGGGCCATTTGTGTCTTCCATGATCTCCTACACGTCTTCCACCTCTAACACCCAAGTCCTCCACTGAACTTAGCTCCTTCCATCCTGGGAAAGCTTCCTTGAAAAAAGAAATCTAGCTCCATAGTGAGTCTGGCCCTCACATGCACAGGGCTACCAGCCAGCCGAGGCTTGGGGCACATCTCAGAAGCCCAGCCTGACAGTCTTGCTATTCCTGATCTCCTGTGAGTCTAGAGTGTCTAAGGTGTCATGTGAATGAGTTCTCCCTGCGCCATAGCCAGCGTCTCATCACCCCACCGTCTGCCCCTGTGGACAACCCACATGGCCGGAANCGTTTCAGTTGTCTCCCAGGGAATGAGCCTACGATTTCAGCTGGGTTGTTTTTGAGCTTTATCAACTCAGGCTCGTGTGTTCAGCCAGGAGATCCTTCACTTGCATGTCCCAAACACTGCTGCGCACATGCACGCGCGCACACGCACGCACCCACACACATGCTCACGAACACACATGTGCGCACGCCCTGAGACTGAGCAGAGTGTCTGCCTCATTTGTATCCGAACTGCTTAAATGGCCTCCGGCAAAGGGAAGCCACCACTGGCCGCCTGTGGGCAGCCACGTCTGCCTCACTGCCCCCTGCATCCCACCCCGTGAGAGCCCGCAGAGAAGCCGCCTTGGGAATCACGACCACAGCTTCTGCAGGTGACCGTGGATGCTGGGCCTAGCTCTCGTTTGTCCCACTAGAACACCAGCAGCCTCACCATAAGAAAATTTTTCCACACACCTTATGGTGCAAGTTTATTTATTTATTTTTATTATTTTTAAAGATGACCGGTAAGGGGATCTCAACCCTTGGCTTGGTGTTGTCAGCACCATGCTCAGCCAGTGAGCCAAGCGGACATCCCTATATAGGATCTGAACCCATGGCCTTGGTGTTATCAGCACCGCACTCTCCTGAGTGAGGCACAGGCCGGCCCCCTTATGGTGCAAGTTTAACAACGGACCTATTTCTTTTTTATTTTTTGGCAGCTGGCCGGTACAGGGATCTGAACCCATGATCTTGGTGTTACAAGGCTGTGCTCTAACCAACTAAGCTAACCAGCCATCCCGACAGACCTATTTATGCCAGTCAATGACCCTGATCCCTGACACCTGCATTTGGCCCACAAGGGATTTGGGGGTCAGAGAGACCCCCGGGCCTGCCCACACTGGAGGGGGAATGACCTGGCGACCTGCACAGCTGATCTCGCAGATGTCACAGTAATGAAGCTGGGGCTGTGAGGGCCCCTGTTGGGCTTCGGCAGCTTGCTGGTAAACGGTGGCTTCCTAGAGAAGCTGCCAGCAGAGTGGGCCCTGGGGCTGGCTCCCGAGCTGCTCCACAGTGCTGAGCTCACGGGGGACATTGGCAGCAGGGAGGGCTGCTGCTGGGGGGTCCCAGGGAAGGCGGGGGCTACATCTGCGGGGTGAGTGCTGGAGGATAATAGAGACAGGCTGCTGAGCACACCAACATGTCATAGCTTGGGTAGCTTGGTCCTAAGAAGCAGAGAAAAAAATGAGAGACGGAGGGAGAGGTATTGATTTCCACCCAGTTTACTGAGGGAGCACATGGACCGACCGCCTGTGCAAATATACACGCACAGGGAAACGGTGGTCCTACCAGTGTACTGGGCACAGATGGGGTTGTATAAGGACAGGGGTAGGAGGCTGTGGTGGAGACAAAGGTGTCAGGCTGGACACTAGTCGCCATGGGGTATGTGTGTCCTGAGGATGAGGTGCTCACCAGCTGCCCAACCATTGCTGTGGGTGCCTGTCGCAGGGGCTGGGCTTGGCTGTGGCCACCACTGGGCTGCCCATAGCCTCCTTTGGTCCCTAGAAAACAGGCTCAGGCTCTCTGCAGAGCGACCCCGCTCTCCGCCATCCCTGCCTGCCCTAGGCCTGTGGTTGGGCCCTGGCTTGGCTGGCTGGAGTGTGAAGGAGGATGAAGTCAGGACCAGAGGCTGGAGCCCTGGGCTGGAGCCTGGCAGTGCCCAGCCTATGACCCTGTGCCCACCACTCCTGTCCAGACTCCAGCTGCCTCCTCCACGGCCATGAGGGAGAAGGGCCATTTGTGTCTTCCATGAGCTCCTACACGTCTTCCACCTCTAACACCCAAGTCCTCCACTGAACTTAGCTCCTTCCATCCTGGGAAAGCTTCCTTGAAAAAAGAAATCTAGCTCCATAGCGAGTCTGGCCCTCACATGCACAGGCCTACCAGCCAGCCGAGGCTTGGGCACATCTCAGAAGCCCAGCCTGACAGTCTCGCTACTCCTGATCTCCTGTGAGTCTAGAGTGTCTAAGGTGTCACCTGAATGAGTTCTCCCTGCGCCATAGCCAGCGTCTCATCACCCCACCGTCTGCCCCTGTGGACAACCCACATGGCCGGAAGAGTGTGTCAGAGGCCGGGGACCAAGGCAGGGCGTACCGTCTGTCCTCATAGCTGCTGGTGGCCATCAACTGTCCATAGCTATAACTGTCCTGCATGAGGGTTTCTGCGGGAGAGAGACAAAGAACAGGGGACCGCAGCTCAGGGCCACACTGCACTCTGTCCGTGCTCATTCATTCCCACAGTGCTGGCCCTGAGCACCTTCTCAGGACTAGGCCTTGGTTTGGGATTTGGGGACATCGGAAGAGCCAGGCCTCACCGTACTTTACAAGAGGACTCTGGCTGTTGGGGAGCATGGAGAGGGCGGGCTTGGAGAGAACCCCCAAGGCCTTGGTGAAGGGATGGAGAGAGGTGGGGAAGAGGGAGGACTTAGAGGGTCCAAGCTTGGGTGACTGGGACCTGTGATGTGCGGTTACTGACATGAACAGGGATGTGGTGTGGGTGGCATGGTTGAGGTCTGCATGGGACACCTCTGCGACATCAAGCAGAAACACAGCAGCCAGATCTGCAGGGCCTGGAGCGTGAGGAGGGTGAGGCTGTGTCCCGGCCTCTCTGGGGCCACATGGCCAAGGTCTCCTGCCCCCACAAGGCCTCCACATCCTTCAGAGCCACCTGCTCAGGCTGGGTAACAGACAGGTCAGGGGCGAACTGGCACAGGAGGGTCCAGGGTGGGGGCTGGAGAATGGCCTCTCTGACCTGCCATGGGCCTCAGATTCTGTGACGGCCACCTTGAAGGGTCACACAGAAGCTACATGGGCACCAAGTGAGGGCCACCCCCTTTCCCCAGGGGGCCCCTGCAGGAGTGGGCGGGGCCGGCTTTCATTGTGACTCCACCCTTCCCTGGGTTCTGGCCACGCCCCCATTCCT